ATATGTGCACCCATGTTTATAGTGGCACAGGGTGTAACAGCTCAGTCTTGGAAATGGCCCAGATGCCCATAAACTGAGGAATGGTTAAAGGAGATACGGTTTCTATACAGTCAAGTACTACTCTACCATAAAGAAGTATAAGCTTGAGATATTTCTAGGTAAATGGATAGAACTGGAGACCACACTCTTAAACAAAATTGATTGGACACACGTGTGTAAATGCCACATTGTTTCTCTGGTATGAGACAGCAAAAGTGTAAATAAGGATGAAAATGTAAAGAGGACATTGGGGAATGAGAAGCAAATGTGTACATGGTAATAAGGGGAGGTGAGGGAAAAGGAATGGAGATAGAAGAAAAAAATATAGAAGGAAAAAATAGAAACAAACTTTTATAACTAAGGGGAAGAGGAGTTGAAAGAAGGGGAGGAGAATGGAAAATAAAAACAGCAGCAAGATACATCATGTACAAGTTTAAATTCTGTACAATGAAAGCCATCTAAAATGTACCAATAAAAATAAACTAAAATGGGGTTAAAAAAAAAAAAAAACCATAGTAATAATCCATAGCAGAAGGCTTTTTTTTTTGAGACAGGGTCTCACTAGATAGTTCAGGCTGGCCTTCAACTAGGGGTGATCCTCTTGCTTCAGCTTCCCATGCTAGGATTACAGGTGTGAGCCACCATCATAACAGAAGGCTTTCTCGCATCATATGGATTTGGGGAAAAAATTTAAGAGAACAAAATGCAAGATAATAATCACTACTTTATTGTGTATGCCATCTTAAGTTTATTATACTTTGTTTTCTATGCTTAATGGCTTTTAATTTATATATTACAGAGTGTTGGCTAAATATGGATTGTGCATTAAGTAATTTTTGAGAAATTTTAAGAGCTGGACATGGTGGTGCACACCTGTAACTCCACAACTACTGAAACTGAGTCAGGAGCATAAAGCAGTTTCTTGCCGGGCATGGTGGCACACGCCTGTAATCCCAACACTCAGGAGACTGAGGCAGGAGGATCGTTGTGAGTTCAAGACCAGCCTGGGCTACAAAGTGAGTTCAAGGGCACCCTGAACTGCACAGCGAGACCCTGTCTCAAAAAGACAAAAAAATAAAAATAAAGCAGTTTCTTTAGATTTTAGGTGGGTAAATTCTATTTTTATTAGTTACATCCATCTTTCAAAAATCGCTACATACCCATATGGCATCTTAATTATTTGTTTTCATTTCCACAGGTGGGTAAATTCTTAACACAAATACCTTTGTTTACTTTGGTTGGTTTTTTTTTGAGACAGTGTCTTGCTATGTAGTGCAGGCTGGCGTCGAACTCACAATGTAACCCAGGCTAGCCTAGAACGCATGGTGATCCTACTCCCCCAGCCTCCTGAGTGCTGGGATTAGAGGTACATGCTACCACGCCTAGCTCCATACATGAATGTAGCATCAGTGTAAACACATCTTTTTTATTCATTTATTTATTTTTAAACACATTGTCTTGGTTACTTTTCTCTCCCTGCTGAGACAAAATACCCGACACCAGAAATCAAGGAAGGCAAGGTTTATTTAGCTCACAGTCTGTACAGGTTTCCATCCATAATCAGCTGGCTCCAAGGCAGGGTGGCATGGCACAGGGGCAGCAGTGCAAGGCAATAGAAGACAGCAAAAGCAGGAAGAGCACAAAGCGGGGACACAAGCGTCTTTTCCTCCCTTATATGAGAAGCAGGGTACCCATCCCCAGGGTCAGTGTAGCACTCTCATAATCTCCATGCCCTCCTCCTGCACAGGATGAGGATGTTTACAAAGTGAGGACCCTGGCTCCCTGCTGAGTCCCTTAATTAAACTTCTAAACTTCTCAAGTTGACCCACTGTATCAAGCATTACACACATCTTATTTAAACTCTAGGATTTAGATTGGATTTTATCTTACTATTGTATTTTTTCTAGTACTTCTTTTTTTTAGTGAAAGCACTACACTTAACTTCAGTATAATGCCAAATGTTAATAGAGGTTATAACTTCCTTACAGAGCACACTGTATTTTTGTGAAAACTTAGCCAATAAAAAATTCGTAAAAAACAAATTAGCATAAATGAAAAATACCCTATAATCCTGATAAATCTTACTGGGCAATCCAGTAGAACTTGGAAGATTGAGGCAGGAGGATCACTGTGAATTCGAGGACAGCGTGGGCTTTGTAGTGGGTTTAAGTCCAGCCTGCACTACACAGCAGCACACTTTCTCACAAGGAAAAAAAAAAAAGAATGTAGGACTTCATTTAGAAACAGCAAAACAAACCCAGTAGTAGTGGCACACACTTGTAATCCCAACTCTCCGGAGGCTGAGGCAGGAGGATCATGGTGAGTTCGAGACCAGCATGGGTTACAAAGTGAGGTCAAGCACAGCATGAACTGCACACTGAGACCCTGTCTCAGACAAAAAAAAAAAAAGTAAAAAGAAAAAATTACAGCAAAAAAAAAAAAAGCTGGGTATGATGAGGCAGGAGGATCACTGGAGTTCCACACCAACCTGGGCTACATTGTGGACTCAAGGCCAGTATGAACTACACAGTGAAACCCTGTCTCAAAAAAAAAAA